TATATTCCTTTTGCCTCTGAGAGACATGACTACGTGTTCTTAACTGGAAGCAGCATTCTGACAACAGTCTGTAGAGAAGGCAAAAGGATGTCCCTTCTGTAAAGCAGGTATTGCAGAGTTTGTGAGAGTCAGACATTACAATCTGARATACTTGTATCCTCGAAATAACTTTTCTGCCTGTTTCACTCCACGTTTTGGGCAGACTCTACCTGACACTAAGCAGTAGCTAATCAGTAGCTGCCTGAAAGTTATATTAAGCATACTGCATATAGACTCTTTAGATCCCCTTCCTCAAGAACAGCTGTGAGGTTCCAAAGGGAAGGAAACACCTAAGGAAAGTGGGCAGGATCTCATCTGTGCCACCCCTCCCAAGCAGGTGAACTGTGCGTGGGGTGGAAGAGACCTCTCACCTTTGCAGTGATGACCATGATATCTGCAGGAACATTTCTCTTCCTTTTAGTATCRGAGTCATGGCATATCAGCAGTAATGGTCCAGGAACAGCAGCTGGATACAGCCTTTAAAGTACCGAGGCCAAGAAAAGTCTTGGCACTTTCGCCTCTTCTTTCCGAAAGAACACACAGTTCTTGCATAAATGWTTTTACATCCTCAATGGTTATCTTAAAGGGCTTTTACTGTCTGCACAGATAACTGAATCAGCACTTAAAATTTYGGAATTTTCAGGAATTTTCAGTTAGCATCTGAGTGTTGGTTGCCCAGCTTCTTCACTGGGGCAGTTTATAAATACCCATGTGCCCAGCACTAGTAACAKTTACAACAACAAATGAAATGTTAGACAGAGCAATTATATATGCCAGCTGAGYGACGTCTCTGAAATAACTTTTGGTGCTTTTTGTATTTAAGTCAGGGAGAAYGATGAGCATTTTTAAAGGCCAAAACTTCTTGAAAACTGGCCAGTCATATCTAAAATCAGTCAAGTARTACACTTGCCTCAAACAAAATCGCTTTCAACACCAATAGAGAAAACTTTAACAGCAGCCTTGCAAAGCTATTTTCTACTTTCAAGATTAAATATATATTTTTCTGTCTCTGCATTTACAGGCTTCCTTTTCCTTCCACATTTCTGAGCTCCAGATAATTATGCTAATTAAAGCCATGGAAAAGACAACAAATGTAACCAAAGTATTTTCTCTTTGGAAAAATATGCATGATTATCTCCAGCATCAAATACTTAAATGCATCATGACAAGTTTTTATTTTACCTCTCTGATATTGCTCTCTTCCTGCCATTGCAAATCTCACATATTGATTGATTTTTATAGTATTTTACCAGAATCCATGACATCAGCTATAAAAAAAGCACTTCTTTATTGTATTACTGAGAGAAAAAACTACCCAGCCCTGTAATTTCTCGATTAGATATTAACATGAATTTTTGCTCAATATTCTCATTTGTGCGTTACAGCTCCCCATTACATCATGAAATTTGTGAAATGTTATCTGAAAAATCACAGCAAAAATATCGAAAAGTTTGATCAGTATGTAGAGATTTAGTCATTGAAAGTAATAATTACAGCTCAAACAGAAGACAGGGTATCAAAGCAAAAGACTGATAGAGAATGCATAAAAAGTCAAGACTATCTTCTTTCTAAATACACAAGCATCACAAGACACAAAAGTACATACATCAAAAAATGCGGACAAATCTAATAACTCGTTTGTAATTCTACAGGTCAAATACAAAACTACACAGTATCAAGTKAATATCTCTAAAATCAAGATAAACTTATGTAAAGATGATATACTATGTGCTACTTCACTCTAATAAAGCTTTTAAACCAATTAAATGTTGTTTCTTGGACTTCTCTTTCCCTTCTCTCTTTGCAACAGTTGTGTTATCTTTACGGCACGACATCAACACACGCCTTCCTAAACTCACAAATAAATGAAGATATCCATCCAAATAGTTCCTGAGAGTCTAGATCTTGTGATTCCCCAAACTTTACCTGTAAATTTGAAAGAGAAAAAAGTTTAGCATTTTCCATTCTATTTCTATTCTTACTTTAAGACAACAATCAGGAAAACTTAAAGATGACGACAAAAAAAAAAAATCTTTAGCAAGTTGAGAACCAAAATGTCCCAAACAAGAGTGGCCCAAAGAGCTGGCACTTGAATGACCTCTTTCCTAGTTTTCTCCATAGCTCAGTCTCTCTGTCTGAGAGTTCCTGGCTATGAAGTTTGTTACAGAAGTCCTGTTCATAAAAGAAAATTAGTACATTAGGGAAACAGTTTATATTCCATGGTGTGCATGGTAGCAGCATATCCAAACCAAAATAATTTTTCATATTCTAGTATTTTGTTTTGCAAATTATATATTTTTTTGCAGGGAAGCAGATGTATTTGGAGAAAAAAAAAGAACTAATCAAAAAGCCATATCTCTCATTTTTTCCTTCTCTTCATATAAAAAGACAAAAGGATGAAAAGTTTTTCAAGAAGTTCTAAATGGTACTGGCATCACACACTCTACTATAAAACAGTATGTAGAAGGCAATCATACTACGAAGTACTAGTACAGGTATTCATGCCTTAACTAAAATAATTTCAAAAAAAAATCTTCAGTTCTAGGTCAGAGGAGGATTTTTATTATTAAATTTGTTATTGTTTTTTTTTCAAGAAGTTTGTCAACATTTTCATGGATTTTTCCTTAATGAAATCAATGAGTTCAAGAACAGGAGGTGCCTGAAATAACTTCTTAACCAACCAGTAAAATCTAGAGAACAAGCTCCAAAGACTTTGATAAAAAGTTTTAAAAGGCATCTTGTTTTGCTACAAATTCTTATCTTGCCAGTAATTGCAAGCTATACTGTAATTGGAAGATGGAGCTCTTCCAAGGTAAGCAGGCATATACCAGTACATCAATGTTTCAGACTGCAAATTAAATATATGGAGAAGAAGTTATTGCTCATTCAGTTGATGAACATCTTCTAGTACCTGTCATTATCTAAACACAATCATCTGGAGATCATCTAAAGGTTCTTATGAGCAAGCCCTCTATTTGGAGCTCAAAAACACAGTAAAATAAACTTTTAACCTTTTAACTGCACAAAACTTTAACCTTATCCAGTGATACCTGATTAATGGTTTTACATGTCTTTCTAATTGCACCTCTTGGGTGCTACAAGCCCTTGATCTTTGGCACACCTCACCACTCACTCCTGGTGCACCATCACTTAGAACAATAACTGATTTAACAGAGAGAGGCTTTTCCGAGAGCTAATGACCATCTGTGGGAAGTTGATAGCCCACAGCTATCCCACAGGCAGTTATCTCCAATTTATTGTTAAGTCCATAGAAGTGTCACATGCCAAGGTCACTATTGATTTCATAAGCAAAATATAAAAATCGTAAAGGCAGGCCCATGGATTTTTTTTCATTGCTACCTACAACACATTTTCAGATCAGATATCCAGCCCCTAGGGAAGTTGGACATTTGCTTTCTAGTGCTCTTCAGATGATAGTCTGGCCTTTGATCACTCATCCTATTATATATTTACTTCATCATATTGCTGGTTTATAAATATGTAAATAAATCTATCTGTGACTAGCATTTTTCAGAAGAAAAAAAATCCTAAGAGAAATTAATCAAAATCTGAGAGAAATGAATTAAAAGCCTCCTAGCATTAGAGAATAGTGGGGAGGAGGGAAGAGGGAAGAGAGGGAAATCAAAAGAGTTAAAAATTAAGAGAAATACTTCTGGCCACATGGAAAATGAAATCATGTTCAGATGTAAATAGAGTGCAAACAGAATTTTGACATAATATGTACCAGTATGTCACTATAGAGCTTCTTCATTTCATCACATTTTTTTGTCAGCAGGGAAAGGTCCCCTTCATATTTCTGAATTAAATCCTGTAATAAAAAAGCTTCTTAATTCAAAGTTAAAGTAGGTATTAAACAACAGTGAAAACAAGAAAATAAGTCAAAATTTCCAAGCTGCACTAATTTCACATTTTACAAAACAGAAGCACAGATCAAGCACACACATTTCCTTGCTAGAATAAAACCAGCAAATACCAAAAGGAAGATAAAAGAATTAAGATTAAAGAACTTTCTTACAGTATCATCCAATAAAACTACCTAAATCTACCAAAAATGTACAAAGCTACAATCAAGATAAAGTCTTAATTTCCATGGCTATAAACATGTCCATATTTTGCATAATCTTGGCCAAATCCCCTTGGCATAATCCCCTTGCATGTTCTCAGTTGCTAATTCTTAAGAGTCAGGAACAAGGCGACAGAAGCTTTAAAATAATATATATTAATTATGATTAATTTGCAAAATATTTGTTTTAAAAAMTTAATTTTTATTGAAGAACTATACTGCTGAGCTGCTCCCGAGTGAAAGGGTCTACATCACCCAATGAAGATATTCACACAAAGATATTCAGGAAAACAGAGGTGAACATGCAGAGGCGAATGCAGTCACTTGAAGCAGATCTGTCCAAAATCACTGATGAGAGCACAGTCCTGTCTTTGGCTCTTGCTAATTTCTGACAAAACTGGCTTTCCAACAGCACGTTTAGCTATTTTTTTTTTCCTTTGTGTCCATCTGGCTCTGTCATTAGTGGGCAGAATCATCTTAGGTTAACCTATACTCATAATTTAAGCATGTTCTTTGATCTTTTTTTTTGTGTGTGTTATTTATCCTACAGTCAGGGAATAAAGGTTATTAAAATTATTTGCTCTTAAATTGCTGTTGTTCCAAAATGCTTATTGTTCCTCATCCATTGCAAAAGGAAGCAAAAGGAGGAGATACAGAAACTCTGCCAAGTCCTTCTCATACTGCATCAAGTGGTATAAGACACTGTCAGAGGCTCCTTTCCWTCTGTGATGATCCTGAATCCTTTGTCAGGACGGGATTCAGTACAAACCAAGTAGATTACTCATCTTTTATCTCCAGTCTACATATGGCTTGAGAACATTACCTTTAGTTCCTTGCAGAACTGTGATTCCTCGGGTGTTGCCTTGACCGTCTTGGGTTTGATCAGCCGCCTGCACTGAGTAATATTTTCCAATTCTTTTTTTAAAACTAACAACAAAAGAGAAAAAGTTATAAATTTAACCAGCATGCAGTCGTGTGAAGGACTGCAGATGCCTAATGGAAAAATGAGAGGAATATGGGGTTTTAGTATGTTCACCTAGCAATGTTAATTTGCCTTTTTGAAATATGTAGTAATTATGGTGCAAGGACTTCCCACATTAAATGYTGAGACTGTCACTTTGATATGTTATCAAATGCTGAAATGGGACATATTGGCCCATAGTCACAGTCAATAACCATGCCACATTTTCAAAAGACAGATTTTTATAAACTTTTAACACAATGTAACACTTAATTTACTTATACCTTTTCTGTGAGCTCACAAAGGGTTCAGTCTAAAATCCATTGATTTCATATGGTACAGCTCAATGGCAAGTTCTAAATGTCTCTCAAGGTCCACCTTACATTTGAACAATTTTATTCTAATTCTCTCCTATTGACAACACTAGTGCTGTATTACTTTTCAGAGGTGGGTATCAGTTTGGTTCAAAGAAGTTCTTGAACTTTGCTAAAACTGTACTAAGTTTTCTTCTGCTATATTTTCTGCACCTGATGACTCTGTTCCAGGACTAACTTTGCCAGTAATTTTGTATCACTTAATGTCTTCAGGAAAAATTTTATTTTTCATGGGCAGTATATTTTTGATATTTCTATACCACCTGGAAGCACTTTAATATTTGTTTTCAAAAATTCCTCACAGTAACGTGGCAGGTTAAATATCACCATAGCAACACTTTACCTCAATATTTTGCACCTTTACCTCTCTTTACAAACTGCAGAAGTGCAATGAAAACCTGTTCCAAATGACTGCATAACATATGACAATCTCTCACTGAATTTAGAAACCATATTTACATACCATCAACTTCAGCACTAAGTCCTTTCATGGAGGCTGAAAAGGAATAGAGAGGGAAGATGATGATAATAAATATCATTCACACAATGTGAATCATGGGAGCTTCCATAAATGGGTTGAGGGACTTTATTTTTCGTTTGTTGATATTTTCCCTCCATCATCTTACCGTCAGAAACAACTTCAAATTCCRTCAACTCTTGAGGAAATTTAGCCAAATCGGGCTCATGTAAGAAGATCTGCTCCACAAGGGCATGAAGCAAGGTGAATGTCCTCTCCTTACCCCGCAACAGAGACAACTACAAATAGAATATAKCAGTAATTGACAGACTGAGCTATTATACTGTTAATAAAAAAAAAGAAAGAAGGAAAGAAAGAAAAACAAAAGCAGGAATGCTGAGAGCTCCCAGGTAAATTTGACAAGAATAAAAAAACACATTAGAATTAAACTTCTCAATTTGCCATTTTGCAGACATTCTTGATTAAGATCACCTTTACACCTTCATATCTGTTCACTTTTCTTTCTCTTTTGTGTCTTCTTATTCACAGGGATCTTTTTTTTTTATCTTAAGGTATCCTAGTTGATTGCAACTGATTCTGAATCTCCAAACACAGTCACGTACCCCTTTCTACTTAAAGCACTATGCTGTACTCATATAGATAGTAAGGTTCCTTAATTGAATCTGGGAAGATGCTCTGTGGCGGAAAATGATTTTGTAGACATTTTTCATTATGATAGATGTGATACCAAAGCCATTTTAAAAAAATACAAGCTGTGTCTTGAATTGTCACTAGTATTATAAATCACTCACATATTAAAGTCTCCAGATGGAAAAGATATCTTAAAAATAACCCAAACCAAAAACTTCTCTCTCCTATTTACCGATCAAGCATAGTTTTATAGCAATCGTAGAGGTTCGAGACAGCTTAGAAAGTTTGTATGCCTTTCTTATTTTACTAGCATAAAAAGATCATGTTCTGTCATTGTTGTGTAAAGGAGGGGAAAAGAATCTCTGTGCTCAGTGGCACGTATTCTAGTGGCAACTAACATAAAATTCAGCCCGAGTCATGCAAGGGGTGGGTCAGMATAGACACAAGAAACAAACTAAGAGCTAAAAGATGGGTTTTGAAGGGCAGATCTCTGCCAGGAAAGAGGAAAGCTCAGGACAAGCAGTCCCCTTCTGTGCTCCCCCACCCACTAGAGAACTACTCGAGTTTGTGGGACTACTGCAAACAGCCAGCAGATTTTATCAGTTCTACACATACATAATCCTGCTGCTTTTTGACATCAGTTCATATCTCTTAAAGTACACTGAGAAAAATGGGGAAGAGAACAGCATATTTATCTTTAAAGTAAATAGTGGGTGTCCTGATTCCTAGAGGTATTTTTAGGGCTACAAGACACATGGTTTGGACCTCCCAACCCCATGATTCCAGTCACCTGTCCCACAATTCACCAAGGCTCTGACATTGGCTCTAGAAGTTTCACGTAGATTTTGCTGGTTAAAACCACTGCAGAAAAACCTAACTCTCTTTAAATTTCTTCATTTATTTATATTCTAACAGTTAAATTTTACCTTAAAAAAACCCCACATAGTTCCACTTGTTATAAAATACCTCTACACTGAAGTAAAGAGCTAAAGTGCTAAGAAGGAAACACATCCATGACAGAGAAGCTCAGCCCTCGCAGGAGAAAGGCCATGGTCACAACTTCTGTCCCAGGAAACGAGACGAGGTCCATACAAMCATGTTCTTCAAAGTCTAAAACTTCACTTTACCCAAACTCGAGGTTAGTCAGTGGCCCACAGCTCACATCTTTTCTAGCTGTGGAATATTAATATTAGAGCAAACAGCATTTTTATGTTTTGCCTTGTTAGAAAAATAATATATACAACACCACAGTGCCCTCACATAGCCAGCGTTGCTAAATGGGGAAATGCATCTTTTTATGGTATACATTAAAGAACACATTGTTAAACTGGACTTTGTTTCTAGTGTAAGCAAGAGCAGATGTCAGAATGTTAGCTATTCATTAAAAATGATTGTTTTTCTCCACATTCAGGACAAAATTTAATGTTAATGGCCAATATACAATATAATATGATGATTTTAATGACAAGCAAAATGTTTACTCACTTTCATCAAGGACGACAGTCGAAATCCTCTAGCCTTCTCTTTTCCTGCCTTTTCATTTAAAAGATTCCCAATGACTAAAATGTACTCCAAGACAGCGATAAATTTCTGGCTGGACTGCAGCTGCTTACTTGCTTGGATTTTCTGTTTTATTAACTGAAACACATACATATTCCTTCGGTTTCGGTTAAAAATACGAGGAAAGCATTGGCATCTTTACCTTCCCTTTGCCAGGGCTTCATTGTTCTTAGCTAGGATAAATAAGTCACAGGACAGCTGATACCTTTCTGTTCAACTTCCTTTGGAGAACAGGCCAGAGGGGTTCAGGGAAGACCCTGGTGGTCAAAATTCTGCCACCAAGATAAAGCTAGCGTTGGCATGGCCTCCCTGCCTCAGTTGGAGGTCACGTCCTTTCTGGCTTCCAAATCAGCCTTGCCAAAAGAACTTCAACCTCAGCTYTTATAAATGCTCCTGAATAAAAAATATTTTGCTGTTTGAATGCACCAGATTGCACCAAATGTCAGGCACCAAGGGAAGAGGATAGCCTGAAGCTCAGTGAAAGGTTCTCCATCCTTCCCCTCTCTCCCATCTGTTTATACCAAATAGAAGACTGCTGTCTTATCAAAATTCTTGGTACAGTTTCCCCACAAGGAAGAATAATAATTTTCTGTAATCAAACATCAATTTTCTTTCCTGAGGGAAGCCGCCTCCCTTCTAGGTCTACAGATACAAGAGGTATTTTTGTTTTAAATGAGGAAATGTACATTTTTTTTACTGCCAGACCTATCTTGATCAACCAGCAACATAAAAAAAATATAAAAACAAGGAGAGGAAAAAACTCCAGAGCTTTGAAAGTCCATGTTAAAACGTTCATAGCACAGAGGGCCAAATATTGAAAGCTAATAGTGAAATTGTCCAATAAATTTTAGGTGTCTACACATTATATAGATATGCAAGGAAGTGCTTAGAGAACTAATCAGCTGTTCAGTGAGCAATAAATATCCCTCAAAGCAATCACTATACTATAGCTTCCAAATTTTCAAATATTTGGTTTCAGTAGAGGATAGCAAAGGTGTCACATTATCAGAGGTGAGGTCAGAAATCTGTGCATCTCCCCAGTGTTCTCCATCTGTTGCTCTTCTGAGCGTTGTTCTCTGTTACTCTGGTTTTAGTCACAGCCAAACAAAAGGCAACAACACTGACTTTCAGCAACTTTCCAAACGTGCTTTCATTCGCGTGCAGAAAGAAAGCCAAATCTTTGACTGAAACAGGACGTTACTTACAGGCTCCAAATCTCTTATGCTCACAGGGAGTTCACGGATGGTGAGCAGGAGATCCAACCTCTGGCCTAAATGTGAGATTTTACACATCTGCAAAAACAGACAGAAAAGGAATTCAAACCCATGTTTCTACTTTCAATTCAATTCAATTATAGCATAGTTTTCCTAGTTTTTCTGCTCTTTTATTAATCTTATTCCAAGCCTTAAAACAATAGATCTTCAATAGCACATATAGAAATCACATCAGATACATGCTTGTTTTCCATACATACATTCAAGAATTCACTGCACATAGAGACAGATGTTACTTAATAAAACAAAAAAAAAAAAAAAAAAAAAGAAAAGCTTTTCACAAGAAATGTGTCCTATAATAGTTAAATGCACACAATTTTTCACTTGAGGCTTTTGGAAATTTAGCTCAGAATAAATCCAATCCTATTTTCAAAGAAGGGGAAGAAGTGCTACTTGAAGCTGCAAAGTGGTAAAAATTCTCTATAATTTCTATGTATTCCATCAGATAAAACTCTAGTTCTGACTGTGACTGGAAACTTAAGTTCCAAACCGTCTCTCTTATAGCAGTGTTACCTAGAAGACAGTGCCCTAGAAATTGCATGGTGTCTTTTAATGGCTGCTGTGCTTTCTTACCTCTAACATAAACTGATCAACTATATGCAGCTCTGAAGGGGGCCCTCTGAAGGACTGGTACCTTTCTACATCCTTTGGTGTTGGCATATACCTGTAAAAGAGAAAATGAAAATTATATGTCCTCTTTCTTGAACTTTTCACACATTTCACTATTTCACACACCAAGCAGTTCAGATTAATTTCAGTGGGAGCACCTGGCACTGTTCTCCCTCAGACGGASCATTGAGCAGTGGCTGCTCTCATCAAGGGGGATGACCATTTATACTAGGCTATCCTGAGGCTGCAGGACTCAAGACCTCCCCTCACTTATGCCAGTTCAACCTAYTTATTTCACAGAGACTGCCAGGTGTCCCTTGATAGACAGTCAAGTAAGCTCTCTACAAGCCATCTCAGCAGTACCATGTTACATGTACTACTACTGCTACACATTACTCAGCTCTTTTTCCTATTCTTATCACCTTCTAAGTGCAAACATAACAAAAGTTAATGTTGATGGAGAGATTAGGATTTCAAAGCCAGGATTAATTTCATGTCTACTACAAGTGCATGTCCATAGCAAAATACGTAACTTGCTCTCTTCACCAGCATCATCTTTTTCCAGACATCGTTTAACCAAACTCTATTTTTTTTTCTCATTTTGAAGCAAAAAGCAGTTGCACATTAAATTTTCACAYGAATGTATTTAATAAAAAGGTGCAGATGTCACTTGTCTTGAATGGAGAGATAGCTGCATAAAAGGTGCTAATCTAGGACATGCTCTCTTCCTAGGCCATAAACTATTCAAAGAAATACAATCTATTTCCTACAAATTTTATATGCCAATAGTTTGCTTACACACTTGAAATCTATTTCCCTGAATATACTAATTCATTTTTTTAAATAAGATACAATAAATTGCATTCTGCTTGAGGCCCAAATTTCTGCCACTATATAATACTGCTATCTTTAATATCTTTCCCCTTTCCAAAACAATTTGTTTTCCTCTTTATAAATGAATACTTAAATAGGGAACAGAATTTCTTACATTTCTTTCATTTGATAGAAGATAAAGCTGTGAGGTGTTCCTATTAAGTTACAACTGTTCACTACCACGAATGATTCTTCTATTAACTCTGCTCCTTGTAACCTGTTCAAAATCATGTCAGG